AATGTTTAACTTGTTCCAAAGTGAAGGCCGAATATCAAAAGCCCTCCGGTTGCTTCAACAACCAGAAATACCTCAATGGAAATGGGAGCAAATATCCATGGATTTTGTTACCAAGTTGCCAAGGACCACAAAGGGACACGATCTATTTGGGTGGTGGTGGACAGATTGACGAAATCCGCACACATTCTCCCCATTCGAGAAGATTATCGAATGGAAAGGCTTGCTCGAATTTACATAAACGAGATTGTAGCACACCACGGGGTACCTATTTCCATCATTTCAGATAGATATAGCCGTTTTACATCTAGATTTGGCAGCACTTCAAAAAAAGCCTTGGGGACCCGTTTAGACTTAAGTACCGCCTATCATCCCCAAAACAGATGGTCAGAGCGAACGAACCATCCAGACGTTAGAGACATGCTCGGGGCTTGCGTGATCGACCTTTGCGGAAATTTGGATAACCATTGCCATTAGTCGAGTTCTCCTATATAATAGCTACCATTCCCAGCATTCAGTGTGCCCCTATGAGGCCTTGTAGTGCGTAAATGTCGCTCCCCGCTATGTTGGCTGGAAATTGGCGATAGGCAGTTAACGAGACTGGATTTAATTCAAGAAACCACTGAGAAGATCTCGATAATACGTGATAGACTGAAAGCAGCTCGTGATCGCCAGAAGAGCTATGCTGGCAAGCGTAGGAAACCCTTGAAATTTCAAAAGGGAGACAGAGTACTCTTAAAAGTATCCCCATGGAAGGGAGTCGTGTGTTTTTGTAAACGCGGAAAACTGAGCCCCCGTTATGTAGGAGCCTTAAAGATTATCGAAAGGGTTGGTCCAGTGGCATATAAGCTCAAGCTACCCGATGAACTGAGTGCGATACACGACACATTCCATGTGTCGAACCTCAAAAAGTGCTTGGCGGAGGAATCCCTACACATACCCCTCGGGGACCTCCAAATTAATGATCGACTAAAATTCCTGGAGGAACCTATAGAAATCTCGATCGAGAGGTAAGCAACTAAAACGAAGTAAAATACCGATCGTGAAAGTTCTTTGGAACTCTAAGCATGGGCCCGAGTTTACGTAGGAACGAGAGGATTTCATGAAGAACAAATATCTTCAACTATTCGTTATGTTCGAACCAGTGTTACCGCCAGTTGAATTTCGGGACGAAATTCCCACAACTGGGGTAGACTGTGACATCCACCAAAACTCAGGTCAGTACTCATCTAGAACTTCGTCATTTTCTTGTGTGCACTTAACTTGGCTCTAGAGTTACAAGTTGAACTAGGTTCACGACTTAATAGATCCCTCGGAACAATTAGTGTATCTTAGCTTGTATTGAACAATCACATTGATATTTGTATGAACCAACTGAGTGGTAAAGTGCCAAATTTGAACCTTAAGTCCAAACACAACACTATGTTCGGTAGACCATAACCCAAGGTAAGTTAGGAACCCTAAAATTTCCATATTGGAAAAAAAAATAATAAATAAAATAAAATCTAATGCTTAACAAGGTTAAGTATTTTAAGCTAATATGAACAAAATTAAACCATAATATTAACCAACTATAAAGTTGATGAGAAATTCATATAATTCATGATTCGAAATGTGAAACAAAAGAAAAATCCAAGGATATCAAAATCTTACAACCACATATTATGAATCCTTGTTATAATTGTTGAAATATGAGAAACTGATTTTTATAAAAAAATTAAATAATAGGTTATCATTTTCTAAATTAATTCAACAAATATAAATTTACAAGTTATTACCTAGTGTAAATATTTCAACAAAACCCAATAATTAAAACCTTAGGAGATTATGATAATGTTTGAGTTTTTATAAAATATAAAATCTAGATTTATAAAAATTCAAGGGAGGCTTTTATTATTTGATCAAATATCAATAAAAATACCATATCCCTCTTAAATTTTCGTCCATTAGGCTTTTCCCTCTCCCCCATGCCTTAAAACCCATCATTACACCACATTTGAACCACCTACACACTCCATCTCACACTCCTTCTCCAAGAAAACTCTCCCACTTCCAACACCACTCCTACACATCAGAAAATCCTCCATTCTCTGTCCTAATTTCGGATTTTGAAGGTCAAGAAGTGTTCTTTTCTCTCAAGATCAAAACCAAGGTAAACAACACAATCCTTTATTATAGTTTTATGATTTTACTTCCTCTCTTCTTAGTTCTTCTTTACTTTTCGGATTCTATGCCCTTATATGGCTAGAGAAATCCTTTTTTCCTCTTGGTGTTTGTAGATTCTCACCATAACACAATACATGTGTTTGAGATGGTGAAAATCCGAGATCAAACCCATGCAAAGAGTGAAAAGATGCACATATGTTCATATGATTTCAAAAATCGAGTTTTACATCTTCTTCTTCACATATTTTGTGTTCTTACATGACAAAAGATATTTAAACCATTTCTAGTACATCTTGGATGCTCATTCACTCCATGCATGTGCTAGAAATTGGATTTGTGGTAAAATCCTAGTGTAAGATTCGGTGGTTTCAAGGAGTTCTCTATCACATGAATGAAACACCCACTTTGGGGGCCATGGAATAACCCTAAATCTATGACTTGGATGTATGAACCTAAAAGTTTCATATTCCTCTGTAAAATCTATTTTATTGTTATTTATTTTCGACCATAAAAGAAATATACATGTTGTCTTTGTAAAAGTGACCTTTAGGGAGCACTTAAAGCAACCAAGGATGACATGCAATCTGTCAGAATATTTTGTTCAGCTTTGAATGGGAACAACTCACTCATTAATAAACCAAATCACGATATTCTTTTTCAGAGGGCTAGTCCCTTGAGTTAGCTTTCGAATCCAATTGGTCTTACTGTAAAACATTAAAAATATGATTTTAGACAATTTTTATAAAACAGTTGCGCAAACAGAATGTTTTCTGTGATCATTAGTTTTGCTTTACATGATCAAGGGTCTTAAACCCCACCTTAAATCTGGGGAAAAATATTTTAGAAACTTAACATATCCAAAAAATGGTGTCTAAAATTTTGTGGGTTAAAACTCCACAGAATTTTCTATACAAATTCGTAAACCTTCAGCTACATCTAGAACTCATGCAGTATATTGTGCTACATTGCCTAACTTGTTGGGGTTGAATACCCCTGTTTTGCTTCTAAATATATTTCAAGCAAATTATTTATGAATGTTCATATATACAAGTGATGATCTGTAAAACCCCAATGGCTAAAACCAATTCCTTATTTTTCTATAAAAATAATGATTTAATGGCTATAAATTCAAAATAATCGTTTTCATAAGAGATAAAAATCTGAAAATTTGTAGTAGTTATGTATTCATTGAATAAGAGAGCCATGTAAATTTTCAGATGATTTCGACACTGTTTGATATTTTATCCATATTTTTCATTAAATTTGAGCATGAACTTACAAATTTGGGTCATTGAACTCAAAGACCCTAAACAATATTTTTCTCAACCTTAGAAACATTTTAGGAGCCTGTAAAAATTAAATTGAGAATTTTAGAAACCATTTACTATTTATTTGAATTTTATCCATTATTTTGGCTTTATTAAATATATATAATATTATATATAAATATATATATATATATATATATATCTATATATATATATATATATTATATATATATATATATCAAATAACCTTCAAAATGTTTACAAATTCTGGACACTAATGCCCTTTGTTAGAACCATAAAACTAATTTTTGTAATTTTCGGAATTTATTTCCATGCCTTTGTAAAATTTTGAACACAATGTAATATGAACTAATGTTACCGATAATGAATCGTACACACTTGGGCACTTTTATGACATCACTAGTTGGATATAGCTTAGTGAATTATATCTCACTAAAACTATTTGTTCCATAGGACGCTAGTAGGAATCGCCCTCGTCAACATCAAACCGCGAAGCCCGAGCCACAACTTTCTTAGTGAGTTTTCACAGCCCCTATTTTAATTTTTAATGTTTTGGGGGTGAAAAGCATGCTACAATTTCTATGAAACATTATTTTACGAGCTTGTGTTATGAACTTAGTGATGTGAACTTTGTTGTATGAACCTTTTATTATGAACTTGTACTATGAATATGGTGTTATGAAATTGTATGTTAAGTCCCCGGAGAACCGAGAACCGATACAAACTATTAACTCATATTTGAGCCGATGGTCTTATGGATAGCGCTATTTGGGGTCGACAGCCCCCACTCGCCCAGAACCGCGAGTGCATATTTCCATGAACTGACATCATGGGAACCATGGACATGATGGAATGGGGCAGGAACGGTCGTTAGGCTTGGTTGTGAACGGAATGCAATGGCATTCATCGTTTTCTAAATTGGAACATTTATAGAATAAACTACATTTTTGAAATAATGTATTATTATAACCTGTGAACTCACCAACTATTTTATAGTTGACCCTCGTTTTTGCATGCTTTTCAGGGAACGGTCAGTGAATCAACAAGACGTTAGCATGATTTAAGTTGTTACCTTTGCTATGTATTAAATTATGTATTGTGAAAACTGAATGTATTTGTTTTGTACGCGATGTAAACTTAAAACGCTTAATGTTTATGGTTGGTACTTCTATTTACCTTTGTGATGAGACCTTAGCCTGTCACTCTTCGTGTTTCCGCTTTAACGGGGTGTGACAGATTTGGTATCAGAGCCTAAGGTTATAGAGAATACCGGCTTCCCTTTCCCTTAGGGACGCCTAAACTATAACCATTGAGTTAAAAAAACATGCCATTTAGTATAAGTAATTCCGGTAATGCGCTACTGGACCTTAATTATACATAGCCTGATCACCTATGTATAATTAAGGAAGAGTTAGTGCAAGACCGGAATTGATTATAGTGAATGGTATCAACACCCTAGGATAAACATAAACATCAAACATAATAGAAAATTTTCTAGAAGGCTAAAAATTCATCTAAACATTAGAGTTTCTCGTGTACAGCGTAGCCATGTCAAACACTAGCTCTCAAGCACTTGGATCGGCAGATGAGTCTGGTTACGTCACTGTGCGCCCAGAAGTCAACCGCGACTCGAGCACCGAACCGACTGAAGATCCGTCTACAGGATCAGAGACTGGAGAGGAAGTGAGCAGCCAGGCACCGACTGAGGAAACTTCAGCCCCGCCGATACCGAGCCTTCGCGACAGCTGACGCCTCAGCCACCCTTTATGGACTATACCACAGGAGGACAGCGAGAAAGAGCGCACCAATGCCGAGAGAAGTGTTGAGGTTCGAGCGTCCAGAACCCGTGCCAGCACCTCCCACACCAAGGAGTGAGCGTCCCGAGCCTAGTCAGCCTCGACCCCAGTCATAGGGACGCCTTATATGCGAGCACCGGGATGACTTGTCAGGAGCGACGCAGGATGGAGGCCATGGCCCGAGACCTGCATGATGCCCGTAGTAGGATTGCTTATCATCATCACAGCATAGCCGACATGTCAGACGTGGTGGATGCGGTGTGTGGTTATGCATACTCCGCCCAGAGGACAGCAATCAGAGCTATGATCACTAGCGCTATCGCTGGAGGGCTAGCATTGATTCTGGCAGTGGCACTTGTCTGGGTGATTGTGTTTTGGGGTTGAATCTAAACGTCATGGTTTATGTTTTGTCGTTTTTGGTCTATGTATTTTGATGTAATGCCTTTGGTTTATGGCTTTTGAGAACTATGGGTTGAAGTGTCTTTTGTAGCTTGCAGTATCAAGCAATATGCTTTGTTAAACCTTTTATGTACGAACTACGAATGAAAAATCTATTTTAATGATTTTCAATCACCATGTTATTTCACACTTATATTTTTCATGAACTGTAAATTGTTTGATGATTTGAAATCGTTCTTGAAAATATATTTTATTATTATTAATATTATTATTTCTTTGAAAAAAAACTAATTAATAATGATAATAACGTCCTTAATTTTGTTTGTGTGTTATAGAACCATGCCCCAAAGAAGAAACACCCGCTCACGCCCAACACAGGAAGAATGCCACTCCCGATATTGCTCAACTGGTCTCGCAACAACTAATGGCTGCTATCCCTAACATTGTGGCTCAAGTCACTGCGGGAATCAATGCTAGTCAGACAAACCATGGAGGCCCTACACCTACTGAGAACACCGAAGGAAGCGGAGTTCGTAATGAGGAAACAAGGGGATGCACCTATAAGTACTTCATGTCTTGCAAACCCAAGGAGTTTCATGGAACAGAGGGTGCAGTGGGATTGTTGAAATGGATAGAAGGAATTGAGGCTGTACTCCACATCAGCAAGTGCTCAAATGACTGTAAGGTTCCCTATGTTGCATGCCTTCTCCAAGACAGAGCCTTAACGTGGTGGAATGCGCAAGTCCGGAACCTTGGAAGGGAGGCAGCGAACCAATTAGCTTGGGAGGAATTCAAAGAGTTAATCAAGAAGGAATACTGTCGTAAGGATGAGATCCAGAAAATGGAATCTGACTTCTGGAACCATGCCATGGTAGGAGCCGATGTGGAAGGCTACACTGTGCGTTTCCATGAACTCGCTGAACTAGTGCCGCACATGGTCACCCCTGAGAGCAAGAGGATTGACTGATACATATGGGGTTTAGCACCAGAAATTTGAGCCATGGTTACTTCAACAAATCCTACCTCAATCCATAGCGCTATAGACCTGGCGCACCGCCTTACGAATGATAAAGTGAGGGCCGTGATATTGACCATAAGCAACGCAAGTAACAAAAGAAAATCAGAGAAGAACCAGTGGGAAGAAGAAGAATGACAACTTAGAAAAGAACAAGAAAAGGGCAACAAACTTTGCGGTTAAAACAGAGGAAACTCTGCAATACTAAGGGCCTAAACCTAAGTGTGAGAAATGCAGCTATCATCATGAGGGTGCCTGCCCTATCTGCCACAAGTGCAATCAAACTGGACATTTCACAAAGTATTGCAGGATAGATAAAGATCGCAAGGATGGTAAACGGGCATGCTATGAGTGTGGAAGTGTGGACCACTTTAGGAATGCCTGCCCGAATCTGAATAAGGGCCCCAATAACAACAATACCAGGAACCAGGCGGGACATATAAACCGTGGAAATCCAGGAGGCCAGGCTCGTGGGCGAGCATTTGTGATTAAGGCGGAAGAGGCTCGCCAGAACCCGGAGGTGGTAACAGGTACATTCCTCCTAAACAACCACTATGCATCAGTATTATTTGACTCGGGGGCAGATAGAAGTTTTGTGTCACATGAATTTAGACCCATAATCGACTTGAAATCAAAAATATTGGAACATGCCTACGTAGTTGAAGTTGCTAACAGTCATGAAATTAAGGCTAGGGAGATTGTTCCTAATTGTACCTTGAACTTAGCTGATAAAATTTTTAGTATTGACCTTATACCCATTGAACTTGGAAGCTTTGACGTAGTGATTGGAATGGACTGGTTGTCCAAGAATCGAGCAGACATAGGATGCTTTGAGAAAGTTGTCAAAATACCCCTCCAAAACAACAAAACCCTTATAGTGTACGGAGAGAAACCAGGCAAGAACTTGAAGATAGTCTCATGCATGAAAATTCACAAATATCTGAGGAAGAAATACCTTGCGTTCTTGGCTCATGTAGTGGAAAAGAATCAGAAGAAAAACATATTCAGGATTCCAATAGTGCGAGAATACCCCAAAGTATTCCCAGAAGAGTTGCCTGGACTCCCCCCAGCAAGACAAGTCGAATTCAGAATTGATCTAATTCCTGGATCGGCACCTGTAGCTAAAGCACCTTACCGCTTGGCACCTTCTGAAATGCAAGAACTTTCGTGCCAACTTTAGAAACTTTGTGAAAAAGAAGGATGGATCGATGCGAATGTGCATCGATTATAGAGAACTAAATAAATTGACTATCAAAAATAGATACCCCCTTCCTCGAATAGACGATTTGTTCGACCAACTCCGGGGTGCCACGTACTTTTCAAAGATTGATCTACGATCGGGATACCACCAATTAAGGGTACGCGATGAAGATGTTCCTAAAACCGCCTTCAGGACTCGTTACGGACACTATGAATTCCTAGTTATGCCTTTTGGGCTAACTAACGTGCCAACTGCCTTTATGGATCTTATGAATAGGATTTGTAGGCCGTACCTTGACAAGTTTGTGATCGTGTTCATTGACGACATACTAGTCTATTCCCCAAACAAAGAAGAGCATGAATGACATCTTAGGTTAGTTTTGGAACGGTTGAAAGACCAAAAATTATTTGCAAAGTTCTCTAAGTGTGAATTTTGGATTAGGAAGTACGATTCGTTGGTCATGTGGTTGTAGAAAAAGGAATACACGTGGATCCCACCAAAGTTGAAGCAATTAAGAAATGGGAAACCCAAGATCCCCGACGGAAATTCGGCAATTTCTGGGATTGGCGGGCTATTATAGGCGCTTTATTGAGAACTTCTCCAAAATTGCCCAACCACTGACTATTTTGACCCAAGGATAGGAAATTTGTTTGAATGGGAGAACCACAAGAAGATGCCTTCCATTGCTGAAACATAAGTTGTGTAATGCGCCAGTCTTGGCATTGCCAGATGGTGTGGAGAACTTCACATTGTGATGTGATGCGTCACACAAGGTCTGGGTTGCGTACTGATGCAGAAAGGCAAGGTTATTGCATATGCGTCAAGGCAGTTGAAGGTTCATGAGAAAAACTACACAACCCACGACCTAGAATTAGGAGCGGTGGTATTCGCCCTTAAGATCTGGAGACATTACTTGTACGGAACTAAGTGCACTATTTTATACTGATCACAAAAGCCTACAACACATCTTGGATCAAAAGATGCTTAACATGAGACAGAGGCGGTGGGTAGAATTACTCAACGACTATGATTGCGAAATTAAATACCATCCAGGGAAGGCCAACGTTGTAGCCGATGCGTTGAGTAGGAAGGAAAGGGGTGAAACCCTCACGAGCACATGCCTTCGGAGCCTTGTTCAAACCAGTTTGAAGAGCGAGCGAAATCCTTTGCTGCTCAAGGCGAAGCGTTAAAAACTGAGAACTTGAAACGTGAAACATCGCACGGCCTGGAACAACAATTTGAAACACGTTCATATCGAGTGAAGTACTTCAAAAATAGGGTATGGGTACCAAAGATCGACGAATTACGTAAGGTAATTTAAAGGAAGCCCATAATTCCCGATACTCGATCCACCCTGGAGCCGACAAAATGTACTTGGATCTAAAGGAATACTATTGGTGGCCTGGAATGAAGAAAGATATTGCCTTGTATATTGAGAAATGTTTAACTTGTTCCAAAGTGAAGGCCGAATATCAAAAGCCCTCGGTTTGCTTCACAACCAGAAATACCTCAATGGAAATGGGAACAAATATCCATGGATTTTGTTACCAAGTTGCCAAGGACCACAAAGGGACACGATTCTATTTGGGTGGTGGTGGACAGATTGACGAAATCCGCACACTTTCTCCCCATTCGAGAAGATTATCGAATGGAAAGGCTTGCTCGAATTTACATAAACGAGATTGTAGCACGCCACGGGGTACCTATTTCCATCATTTCAGATAGAGATAGCCGTTTTACATCTAGATTTTGGCAGTCACTTCAAAAGCCTTGGGGACCCGTTTAGACTTAAGTACCGCCTATCATCCCCAAACAGATGGTCAGAGCGAAAGAACCATCCAGACGTTAGAAGACATGCTCCGGGCTTGCGTGATCGACTTTGGAGGATATTGGGATAACCATTTGCCATTAGTCGAGTTCTCCTATAATAATAGCTACTATACCAGCATTCAATGTGCCCCCTATGAGGCCTTGTATGGGCGTAAATGTCGGTCCCCACTATGTTGGCTGTGTAAATTGGCGATAGGCAGTTAACGAGATGGATTTAATTCAAGAAACCACTGAGAAGATCTCGATAATACGTGATAGACTGAAAGCAGCTCGTGATCGCCAGAGAGCTATGCTGACAAGCGTAGGAAACCTTGGAATTTCAAAAGGGAGACAGAGTACGTACTCTTAAAATATCCCCATGGAAGGGAGTCGTGCGTTTTTGTAAACGAGGAAAACTGAGTCCCCGTTATGTAGGACCCTTCGAGATTATCGAAAGGGTGGTCCAGTGGGTATAAGCTCAAGCTACCGGATGAACTGAGTGCGAACACGACAAATTCCATGTGTCGAACCTCAAAAGTGCTTGGCGGAGAGGACTCCCTACACCTACCCTCGGGGGACCTCCAAATTAATGATCGACTAAAATTCCTGGAGGAACCTATAGAAATCTCGATCGAGAGGTTTAAGCAACTAAAACGAAGTAAAA